GCGTGGCTCGCCACCGTCTAGACAAACTGCTTAGATACACACGCACTGGTTTTAATTAGCGCCGTGGAAATTGTGCATTCTGTAGCCCAAAATGTTCAACAAGTGTTGTAAAATCACATTTAATAAGGACAATGCAGCTCAGACGATCACTTCCCACCATGCCTAAGTAGACTGGGTTCTACCCCCTTCCCATCTAAGTGAGAAGCCCACGTGAGCTGAAATTGCTGCTGTGCCCTGGGTCTGAGAGCGGGAGGCGCCTCCTTCCCCACGCTCTCATGAAATGGACTTTCCTTGCAGAAGTCAGACATGGGCTGAATACACCACAGCGAGAAACGTTCCACTTTTAGCCCGAAGGTCCAGACTCCTTTTGTGCTTCAGCCTTCAGGAAATTCTAAATGGGTCCCGGCTGCTGGCTCAAGTTCCTGCGCGGCAATGACCTTGGGTGGGAAGGCAACGTGTTGATTTTCCTTGGAGAATGTTCATAGTTTGGTCACCCATTCCATCAGAGACAGAGACAGAGAGACGGACAGGACCCCCAACAGGCCTTGACACTGTGACCCACTCCCACCTAAGCCAGGCCTGGACCGGGGCAGGTGCACACTTAGCGTACTCAGAGAGGTCTGTGGCCGCAAACCCCGGACCTCCCCATGTGGGCCGGCCTTGCAGACGCCTGAAGGGAGACACCTGTGTCCCACCAGGAAGTAGGGTCATCCTGTGACGGCCCAGCCCTGCTCAGCTGCAGGTGATGGTCACCTCCTGTCAGTCGAGCACTGGTACAGGACATGACGTCCTCACTGCTGAAGCCCAGCTCTGTGGGATGGCCCCGTGGCCTGCTCAATGTCCTGGATTCTGCTTGGTCACACGGACGCATTCTCGCATTTCGTCCCTCTGCACACGACCCAGCTCGTGCATGTCTGGGCCCCGTGCTGGGTGCAGTCACCCAGGGGGATAACCAGGATGTGCCGGGGGTTGGTGGGGTCGACGAACCCACAGTGCGTGCACTGACCCTGTGCGTGGGACAGCGGTGGGCTGAGCAAGTGAGGGGCAGGGTCCTGATGGCCGAGGGGTGGGGGAGAGAGCACAGTCCTGGGAGGCCTCCTGGAGAAGGAGGCAGTGCTGAGGAGAAGGAGGAATGAGCCCAGGGATGGGGGTGCAGCATGCTGGGCAGAGGGTGCGTCTGCACAGTGTGGAGGCCATTGCAGCCGGGGGTCCCTTTTCTCTGTGCGTGCTGCCTCCCCCTTTGCCAGCTCCTGCCTGGCTAGGTTCGGCTTCCTCAGGCTCTCTCTGCCCACCATGGTAGCCATGGACCATGAGGGGCTGTCCGCTAAATGCAGTCCACCCGTGCAATGGGGTGTCATTCAGCCAGAGAGGAACAGAGCGTGATACAGCCACAACGCGGACAAGCCTCAGGAACACCCATACTGTGAGAGGAGTCAGTCACACGGGCCATACCGTGTGATATGTCGCTTACGTGGAAGCTCCAGACTAGGTAAATCCAGGGACAGGAGGTTACCTAGGGCTGGACAGGCTGGAGGGTCACGGCTAAAAGGTGTGGGATTTACTGTGGGGGTGACGACAATGTGCTAGAAATGGCTGATGGTGGTGGCCATGCCAGTCTGGTCACCCTGGAAGCCAGCACACTGTCCACGTCATAGGTCAACTATGTAGCAGTGAATGAGGTCCTGACGGAGCTGGAGAAGCAGCTCGCAAATCCCTCAGCGGCCGTAGCCTCTTCCCAAGGCGGTGCTGGTGCGGAAGGCCCCAGCCATGACTGGACTGCCAGGCTGCCAGGCGGTGACGCCCCCTGCTCCCAGGTGTCCCCTCCGTCCGCCCCCTGTTCACCTCTGGCTTCAGCCTTGCCCTGCCCCCATGTCAGGACAGTCCCTTCCTTCTCTAGGGAAACCATAGCACTTGGTCCCCACCTGTCCCAGAGCCTGGCCCCACCTGTCCCAGCACCTGGTCCCACCTGTCCCAGCAGCTGGTTCCACCTACCCAGCACCTGGTCTCACCTGTCCCAGCTCTTGGTACCTGCCCCAGAGCCTGGCCCCACCTGTCCCAGCACCTGGTTCCACCTGTATTGTGCAGTCATTGTAACCAGGAACTGTCAATGTGTCTTTATGCTTCAGATGAAGAACTAGAGGCTAACACTTAAACTGAAAGCTAACCCTTAAAAAAAAAAAAAAAAAAAAAAGAAAAAAATTAAGTAATTTGCCTGCAGTCACATGCTTTAATATCTTACAGCTGCCGTGAAACCTTACCCTATGTTGGGCTGTTTAAAACACCAGAAATTTGCTTTCTCACGGTTCCGGAGGCCAGAAGTCCCAAATTAGGGTGTCGGCAGGGCTGGCTCCTTCTTGGCACTCTGAAGCTTCCCTGCCTGTCCTCCGGGTGCATAGCGCAGCCGTGACCTTCCCTGGCTGTGACAGTCTCACACGTGACAGTCAGCTCATGCACCTGTGTCTCTCCTTATTTTTAAAAACTTGCCAGAGGGTGCATGCCGTGGCCAGAGGCAGGGAAACACAGTGGGAGAAAGCACCCTCGATGGGCGTGGCCACGCTGCAATCCCTTCTCCGTTTGTCCCCCCCCCCCCCGTCAGGATTTGGGGCCTAGTGGCCACATGGTTGACTGCAGTTTGAATTCTGGCCCTGGCTCTGCAAAACAGGCTGGGTGCATGTGTGTGCATGCCCAAGAGGCTAGCAAGATGGACAACTGAGAAAGGGCTCATGGCGTGACCACGCCCCCCTGGGTGGCGCTTTCTCCCTCTCCCTCTCCCTCTCCCTGTCCCTCTGTATCTCCCTATCTCTCTCCAGCAAGTGCATGCACCCCCTTACTTTTTTTTTTAAAGCACTCAGAAAATGCTCGCTGCATGGTACACTTAAGAAACACCTATTATCCCCGACCTTGCAGAGCCTCAGTTTCCTGCTCTGTAATAGAAACAATAACATTTGTAAAAAAGCAGTTTCACCAAACCATACTTAACTTTTCATGCTGTTTTTTTAGTGTATCTAATATATTGCTTTTATACTGTCTCATTAAATAAAAACATAACGCTGACAGTGACCCGGTAAATCATGTTCGTGATCCATGAATGGACATGACCTTGAATTAAAAAACCCAGCTTCCAGGGTGCATTTTTTTTTAAAGAGATTTTTGCTGTGAGGTGCGTGCACTTGTCAGAGAGACAGAGAGAGACGAAAAGTGAGAAATCACCCCAGAGAGGGGATGGCCACACCACAATCTTTTCTCCTTCATTCTCTTCTCAGGACTTTGGGGCACATGCGCACACACGCCCAGCGTGAGTTTTAAGCTGCCAGGTCTGGAATTCGAACTGCGGTCGACTATGTGGGAGTCCAGCAACATAACCATCACTCCATTTGCTGGTCCCCCAGGATGCATTTTTACTGGCTTCACTCTTCAGAGCAGTTTGCAGCAAGGTTGAACAGAAAGTACAGAGTTCCCACATGTCCCCTCCCTCTGCCCAGCTGTCCCCACCGTCAATGCCCCACACTGTGCGGCTCACTGTGACCCTGGATGCCCCAGTGTGACACAGATCCACCACTGGGGCTCACTGTCCGTGTTGACCATCCCGTGGTGTTCACATGTCTCATGACATGCACCAACAGCGTGTCATACAGGGGATGCCTGCAGCTGTGCAAAGCCTCGGGCTCTGCCTGTCCTGCTCTTCCTCTAGACTGGTTTTCAGCCCCGTTTCCAGGCCATGGCCTCTGCTCAGTGACTTGCAGTTGACAATGCTGAGGATGACGATGGTGAACTGGAAGTGGAGATGCTCTAAGCGAAGCCGGTCAGAAAGTGCCCTGATGGCTCAGATGGGTGAGGGAGGGAGGACAGGGGTGGCTGCAGAGGGCGGGAGAGGGAGGGTGTGGGACAGTGGACAGAAAGGAGGGACAGGCCTGGTGCGTGAGGGCCCAAGGATCTGGAAGCAGCCCGTGGTGACAGACTGCAATTAAGCAGGACACTAAGCGAGGACTTGGGGGCAGATGTAAACCTGTGACAGCAGGGGTGGCTCGTGGGACAGCGGGCAGGCCCTGGGTCAGCAGGAGTCCAGGCTGGTGCCTTCCCATCCACCGTGTGACCCTGGGCAAGTCCCTTCCCTCCTGGGAGGGGTGGACCCCTTGTCCTGCTGTTCAGCGTTGGGAGGAGGTGAGGCGTTGCTATCCAGTCACCGGGATTTGGGCGACGTTTTCAGGATTTAGGACCAGCTTAAATAACAAACACGTTCGGTGTAGGATGTTCAGACTCGCGCATTCTCCCTTTAATTTTTTCCCCCAGAGGGCGCGTGCCAAGAGCAGCGTCAGGAAGAGTAGGAAACGCTGCGAGGATCAGGCAGGCTTCGCGCTGGACCACGAAAGACCGAGTGGAAAGGAGGAGGGCCCGCGGACCGAGGGGGCTCGGAAGGAGCGCCCCGGGCACCTTTCACACCGAGCAACAGGCGCCCGCGTTCTTCCTCCAGCGATCCTCTCAACAGCGCAGGCGAGGGAAACTTTCCAGCCCAGCCCGCCGACCTGCCGCTTTAAAGCCGGGCC